GAGACGCTGGAGCTGGAGGTACCGGAGGAGCTGGAGCTGCTGGTCCTGGAGGTGCTCGTATTGGAGGTACTGGAGCTGCCAGAGCTGGTGGTGCTGCTGGTGCTGGAGGTGCTGGTGGTGCTGGCACTGCTGGTTTAGGAGGTGCTCTTACTAGAGGTACTGGAGGTGCTCTCTCACCACAGCAGCTGCGCGAGTGGTTTGCTCAGCGCACCCGCCTTCGGAGTGGCGCTGCTGGAGCTGGAGGCACTGCTGCTGGAGACGCTGGAGCTGGAGGTACCGGTGGTGCTGGCACTGTTGGTCCCGGAGGTGCTCGTACTGGAGGTGCTGGAGCTGCCGGAGCTGGTGGTGCTGCGGGCTCTGGAGCTGGAGGCACTGGAGCTGGAGGCACTGGAGCTGGAGGCACTGGAGCTGGAGGTGCTGGAGCTGGAGGCGCTGGAGCTGGAGGCGCTGGAGCTGGAGGCGCTGGAGCTGGAGATTCTGGAGCTGCTGGAGGCCCTAGAGGCCCTGGAGCTGCTGGTACTTGTACTGGTGGTGCTGGGGCTGGTGGTACTAGTGCTGGTGGTACTGCACAGTGGCGACTGTTTTTCGCTCCACCGTCACCGCCATCTCTGCCACCGCCTGACTCGGTGCTTCGCCAGGTTTTTAGCCTCTCGTCTTCCACTGGCCTTGCACCTCCCTTACTGTATCCACTGCCTGACCAGTCACGGCCACAGCTACAGCCAGACTCCCCTTTGCCTGCTCCTTCTCCTTACACTGAGCAGACAGACTCCCTTACAGAGCGTCGTGAGCCTGTGTCTCGTCCTGCCTGCCTGTTCGCGCTGTTCACACTGGCCGTCGTGTTCCTCGTCCGCGTCCTCCTCCTGTCCCCGGCACTCACACTATGACACTTCGTCCTTCCTCTGTTCCACAGCGTGTTCCCCTGCCGTCTCCTCCTGAGTCCTCTCTTCCGCACGTTCCGAACCCTGATTCTGACCTGGTTCGTACTGCTAGCCCCACTGTCACGCGTCTCCTAGCCACTGTTATCACCGACTCTTCGTTTCAGTCCACTGCTGTGTCTGCCTTAGTTGCTGACCTTGTTGACTTTCCTCCTACTTGTCGTCTCGACTACACCGCTAGTCTTAAATCTGAGTCTGAGTCTGTCTGTCCTCCGTCTGTACGGGGTGAGTGTGCTCTTGGCACAGACGTCCTTGAGGACAGGCAGGAGGATTTTGAGTGTCTTGTAACTGTTGTACCTCATCAAGTGGCCATGCTGCTTGCATGTGAGGGAGACTCGGATGCACCAGACATCCCGACCCCGCGCTCTTACGCAAAGGCGATTTCGGGTCCCTACTCTCCTCAGTGGCAGATAGCCCTGGATGCAGAGATGGCATCCTGGAAGTCCACAGGTACTTACGTCGACGGAGTCCCCCCTCCTTGGGCGAACATAGTCGATGGCATGTGGATTTTCAGGGTGAAGCGGCCGCCGGGTTCTCCGTCTGTCTTCAAGGCTCATTACGTTGCACGAGGTTTTAGTCGGCGACATGGAGTTGACTTCTTCCAGACCTTCTCCCCTACCCCGAAGATGACCACTCTTCGGGTGTTGCTGCACATTGCCGCTCAGCGTGACTATGAGCTTCACTCTCTTGCCTTCAGCACAGCTTTCTTACAAGGCAGTCTGCACGAGGAGATCTGGCTGCACCGCCCACCTGGCTTCACTGGGTCGTTTCCTGCAGGTACCTAGTGGAGCCTCCGGCGGCCAGTCTACGGTCTCTGCCAGGCGCCTCGTGAGTGGCACGACACACTGAGGACGACACTTGCGGCTCTTGGGTTTCCTCCTTCGATTGCAGACCCGTCACTGTTTCTGCGCACCGACACTTCGCTGCCGCCGTTCTACATCCTCGTGTACGTCGACGACTTGGTTTTTGCCACTGCTGACACTGAGGCACTGGCCCTTGTGAAGTCAGAGCTGCAGAAGAGACACACGTGCACAGACTTGGGTGAGCTGCGCAGCTATCTTGGCTTGCAGATCACCCGGGACAGAGCACAGCGCACCATCACCCTGACTCAGTCACACATGGTGCAGCAGATCCTTCAGCGCTTCGGCTTCACTTGGTCCTCGCCACAGTCCACTCCTCTGGCTACCGGTCACTCGCTCTCAGCTCCACCTTCGGACGAGTCTGTAGAGCCGAGTGGCCCGTATCCAGAACTTGTGGGCTGCCTCATGTGCCTGATGGCCTGCACTCGACCTGGCATCGCCTACCCACTTAGCATCCTCGCACGCTACGTTGCACCCGAGAGACATCGACGAGAGAATTGGGAGGCTGCTAAGAGGGTGTTGCGCTACTTGTGCAGTACATCAGGCATGGGGCTCGTGCTTGGAGGACGGGGTCGAGTTGTCCTCACTGGACACTCAGACGCGTCCTGGGTTGACGACCTGGCTACGCAGCGGTCGTCACAGGGTTACACATTTAGCCTTGACTCCGGCTTTGTTTCTTGGCGGTCTACCCGCTCGTCTTCTGTTCTCAGCTCTAGTTGTGAGGCTGAAATCCACGCTGGAGCCATGGCTGCACAGGAGTTACGCTGGCTCACCTACCTGCTGACCGACTTGGGAGAGCTGTCTCGTTCTCCTCCAGTTCTGTACGTAGACAACAAGGCCGCCATTGCCTTGTGTCAGGAGCATAGATTGGAGCACAGAATGAAGTACATTGCTTTGCGTTACTTCCTTGCTAGCGAGTTGCATCGGCGTGGTCAGCTTTGTTTTGCTTTCGCGGCCACTCGGGCCAACAGTGCTTATATATTCACCAGGGCATTTCCGCCTGGTATCAGTGCTTCTGTACTGCTTTAGGCCTTGTGCCTCTCTCTCACTTGCTCACTGCGTGACTTTGCTTGTACTGTGATCTATATATATACCTGCATGCTTACACTTGCTAGGTAGTGATCACTGTACTGTTTGCTCTCTTTTATATAACTCTGCATGTGGACTGACCTTGTAGCCATTTGCTTGTGCTTGGAATGTGTGGTGACTTCGTGATCCACCCTGAGCTTGCTTTGCTTTTCTTGACTGGTCTTGTGACCACTTGTTCTCCCCCACTTTGCCTATGGGGGTGTGTCAAACTGTTATAATGTTTATATTGTGTAGGCTGTAGTGGGGTAGCCCATAAGGGGTACAACCCAATTAGGGTTAGTACTTGTACCAACTTTATGTTCAATGCATCCATTCTCGCTTAGTCTTCTGACAGGGGGGACTGTTGGTGGTGCGGTGCGATCGGGTTTTTTGAGACGTGTGAGAATGGGCGAGGGTTCAGACTGGCGTGGCGTTCCTTCACTCTTTGAGGCATACACACTGGTACAAACTCATGTTTTATTCATACTTGGGATTGGAGTTTTCTGTTGGTGCATTACAGCAGAATCATTTCCTGAACCGGGGCATACAGTGAGCATACAATACACGGGCATACAGTGATGATTCTTCTTCCTCTGGCCGTACCACCAGCTTCAAACAAGCTCTGTTGAGGCTACTCAATAACGGCTATTCTTGTGGGTATGGAACCAACCCCAGCAAGGGCTGTACTGAGCAATAAAGCCCAGCACTGCTCCGCAGTGCCTTGCTTATGCATTGCCAATGCGCACTGCTCATTGCAATGCACAACTGCAGCCCACCCCACCCCTGTACAAGTTGATCCTGCAATGCCTGCTGTGGCAACAAGGGAAGGGATTGCAAGAACATGGATATTGTGAGGCATGCATGATAAGGAAACTCACGCATGGCATTAGCAACTAGCACTTGTGGGCTCAACACATGCTCGAGTCAGTTTAGTGTAAAGGTACAACCTAACAACCACGGCAACCGCAGGCAACCAAGGGCACCAAGGGCAATCGCAGGCATGGGCACCAAGGGCAATCGCAGGCATGGGCACCAAGGGCAATCGCAGGCATGGGCACCAAGGGCAATCGCAGGCATGGGCACCAAGGGCAATCGCAGGCATGGGCACCAAGGGCAATCGCAGGCATGGGCACCAAGGGCAATCGCAGGCATGGGCACCAAGGGCAATCGCAGGCATGGGCACCAAGGGCAATCGCAGGCATGGGCACCAAGGGCAATCAAAACTCTCCATGCCATACCGAAAAATAGAATTCCCCCTTCTACCCCACACCCAGCACCTCTCTCATCCCACCCTGAAATACAATTTTACCATCAATCCTGCCCAGCCTTGTCGCACCAGACTCGCCACGACCCCCCTGCGCTTTCCATGTCCCCTGCACCTCCCATGTCCCCTGCACCTCCCATGTCCCCTGCACCTCCCTCCGTGCATACTTATCCACATGTGGCTGACCTTAGAGGCCTCACTGCGCACTCTTGAGAATCAGCGGTGGCGCCATGCCATGGAAAACTCGCTGCACGCCCACTGGGCTGGGCTGGGCTGGGCTGGGCTGCGCTGGCCCCCACTCCCCCTGAGCCCGCCGCCCAGACCATTGACAGCCTCCCTCCTCTCCCCCTTCCCCCCCACACCCGCAGGCGACTAACCTGAAGAGGCTTCAGTGCATGCATGTGAGCGGCGGCAGTGGCAGTGGCAGTGGCGTGGCGTGGCATCATGTCATGAAGGACTCTCCGCACCCGCACTCCCCCTTGGCGTTGGGATTCACAAACACAAACTCCGACCTGCACCGCCCCAGCACGCCGCACAGCGCACCACAAACATGCCATTTGCACAACAATTGGTGGAGGGTAAGGAGACGGTTCGGGGTTTGGGGCAATGAGTGATCTCGGGAGTCACAGCAGCAGGTGGAAGGCACAGAGCGCAGAGCAGCACAGCAGGGCATGAATGTGAAGCACAACAACGAGAGGTGCACGTGAACAGGGAGTGGGGAAGGCAAGGGGGAAGGGTTGGAGAAGAGAAACGTGGGGAGGGGAGGGAACCGGGGGGAGTGGAGAGGAGAAGGGGAAGAGAGAGGGGACAGAGAAATTCGGAGGGGAGAGGAGAAGGACGGGTGATTGGGAAGGTAGTGAGGGGTGCAAGCACTCAGCGGCATGGGCTGGGACGGTGGTTGGACGGAGCGCAGTTAAGGAAGTCTTGCACAAAGTGGACGGTGGTGCCGATGACGGCCATGAGCGCCTTGGGCGAGAGGGAAGGGATGGCTGCTTGAGAGGGGGTAGAGAGGGGTGCAAGCACGCAGCGGCATGGGAGTGGCGCGCACTTGAGGCGGTCTTGTATGAAGTCGACGGTGGTGCCGATGACGGCCATGAGCGCCTTGGGCTCCACCACCACGCGCACTCCCTTCTCCTCCACCACCTCGTCATACCGCCCCGGCTCGTCTGCACAACGCCGCACAGAACACACACACGGCAACGGGCGGGCACAATGCGAATGAAGCCGGCCGACCATGGGACACGGAGAATGGGAGATTGAGACATGACGACGAAAGGAATGGCCTCTGAAACGGAACGACGATCTGGTGTGTGTGTGCATTTATGCATCGTCAGAGGTACGACATCAACGGAACGACGTACACAGAGGAATATGCGAGCGTCTTCAATTGCTCTGTTAAGTTAAAGGCAGGACACCGCACGTGACTCCAAACGCGCGGTTCCCTTGAATCCGACGAAAAGCCATGTCCTTGAGTCTGCGAGCGCGGGCCGACGCGTACCGGCGTAGGAGAGGGTGTAGCTCATGCCGCTGCAGCCGCGCGACTTGACACCCAGCTTGAGGTACTCCTTGTTGCGCCTCGTCAGCAGCTCGCGAATCCGATCGGCCGCCGCGTCCGTGAGCTGAATCACCTGCCGCCGCGTTGCTCGCGGTCGGATCGCTGCCTTGGCGGCGGCAGCGAGCGGCGCGGTCATGACACGAGGACGATTGCGCTGTGGCTTGGCTAGCGGACCTTGGTTGCGTCAGTGAAACGGAAAAGCGACGGGAACGCGGGTGATTTGTGAGGAAGGACGGGAGCGGCGAGAGCGGAGCGAGAGAGCGGCGGAGCGGCGAGAGCGGGGCGAGGGATCGGCGGAAGCGGGCGGGAGCGGCGCGAGGGAGCGGCGGGAGCGGCGAGAGCGGAACAATGGAACGGCGGAAGCGGCGAGAGCGGAGCGAGCGAGCGGCGGGAGCGGCGGGAGCGGCAAAAGCGGAGCGAGGGGATCGGCGGGAGCGGCGGGAGGGAGCGATGGGAGCGAGAGAGGCACGGACGAAGGGAAAGATGGCGGAGGAGACATGAAGGATGGGAGCGGCGAGAGCGCGAGGGAGTGGTGGGAGTGAACGACGGGTGGGAATCAGGGCTATTGCTAAAATTTTTGCTAGCTCGGACGATCCGGGCCCCTGTGAAAAAGACCCTGTAAAATCCGAGCCAGCGGAAAAAAAACCTTGACGAATCCGGGTTCGAGCCAGAAAAGGCCTGAAAACATGCATTGCCAGAATTTCGCGGGAAACTCACAGTGGGTTGCACGAGGGCTGGGGAGATTGGAGATGGAGTGGCTCTGGAGGGGTGAGCGAGACTTTATTTTAGACTTCGAAAAAAATACGATGAGGAAGAGTACATAGGGAGAACAGGGCAATCAGACACTCTCTCCTTATTGGCCTTCTAAGCCATGTCGACGTAGAACAGGGCAATCAGACACTTGGAGGCCAACAAGGAGAGAGTGGTTAGGAAATTCACTAAAAGTGGCCCACGTGTGTTTAGAGGGAGACGGAGAGGAATGCAAGGCAGGTCGGGGAGAACATGTCTGCTAAAATTATACGGGTCCCCTTGAGAACTCCCCAGAGATATCCGAGCTGACTCAATAATCACCCTTCAGTTTTAAAAAACACCCTATAATCAGGGCTCCTTGAAAAAACACCCTATAATTTCAGTCAAAACAGGGTAATTGCCCTGATAACTTAGGCCCTGGTGGGAATGGAGCAACCATTGACAGGGGGGTGAAAGTGTGAGGCTGAAATGGTTGCTTCTTCGCTACTAGGAGCATGCGATATGACCCGTCTGTCAGGGGGTGTACACAACAGCATTTGTCAATTAACGCGGAGAATACATGTGCCCGTTTCAGATGAAATGGAATCACTACTCAGAATAAAATAAAATGAAATGAATGAATCTTCAAAATTTCAAGCTCAAGTAGAAGCAAAATTCAATATTGAACAAATCCGTACAAAAAAAAAATGTTGTCATTAGAAGCAATTAGGGCGTGGTATATGGCGTCCTATTTTGCTCGAATCGAAACCCTACCCACACGCAAAAAACAGCAAAACACTCGCTCTGTCACGCACAACGTCATACAGTACTCCACCGCAATAAGGTGGACTCATATGACACGCCCTTCGGATGTCAGAAGGACGTGGCGAAACGTCAGCACTTGTTGCGTAGTCATTCACGTTCATACATGTGGCATCAGCTGAACTGGCAACGAGGCGGTTCGGACAGCCAATGGTCACACTTCCCTCCCATTGTCTCACTTCCCGAGCCTCAGCCTCCACTCACCCGTACTACCCCGCACACCCCCAACTGCCCTTCTCCCATTGGTCACTGCCTTCCCCTTTTCCGCCTTTTCCCCCTCGATTCCTCCGCGGCGCCACTTCCCCTTCCCGACGCAACCTCAGCACGTAGTACGTGTAAGGGCGTGTCCCACGATTTCGTTTACAGTTCATGTTGGCTTTGGTAGCCCTGTTTTTGCTTTTGTAACCCTTTTAAATGGACAACTGTAGACATGCGTCTTCAATGACGCGCGACATTGACGTGCTGAAAGCGTCAGCAGGTTCGAATTGAAAGTGTTCAAAAACAGCTCCAAGGTACGTACCATCACCTCGAATTTGTGCGTGTAACCCTGCTCCCAATCTCGAAATTCGCCCATAAGAGGCGAAAGCCCAATTTTGGCACTGTACATTCGCAATTGGCCAGGGTTACCGTTCGCGAACCATGAAAAAAGTGATTCAGATACGATTTTTTTGTGAGCGGGGTGCTGAGTCCTTCTGGTGCAACCTCGTTTAGCGTAGTGCTGACGCGCTGCGTAATTTTTTCGTCATAGTGTACACTATGCCGCTTTGTCAAAGTTACGTAACAATATAGATTTTCCCCCAAATGAACTCGTGGGACACGCCCTAACCCGTTTCGAAACGACTGCTTCGTCTGCCTTTGTGGGGTCTGCGCGCATTCCTGACCGTCGCCATCAAATTCTCGTCGTTACCGCCATCGCCACAGATTCCGTCACAAACCGACTATCCACTCGAACGATAGAAGCCCACTATACATTTCGTCTCCACCCGTTGCGCGCCAATTTCCGACGCCCATGGCGCCATCTGCCTCGGCTTCCACTCCTCCAAGCCACCCCGCGTCGGTTTTTCCGCTCGCCGCGATTGCGCTCCCGCATCTCACCGCCGCGGGCCTTCCCCCACAGCGCGCCGAGCCGTTCCTCCGCGCCCTCACCGCCCTGCTCCACTCCTGCGCAGCAAACGGCCTCTCAATTCCCGCCACGTGGCAGCATGTTGCGCGTTCGCTGCTGCGGCCCGACGTGCCGTTCCCCGTGCACGAGCTGCTCTACGCGTCCGCCTTCGCCACGTGGCGCGAGCGCGCGCTCGGACCGCCGCCAGTGTGGACACCGACGCGGTAAGCCCCGACTCACTGAGCGCGGATGGTGCGGGGTTGCACCTTCCCTCGATGCCCGTCGCCTCTAGGCCCCTCCCGTCCTCCCCCTCCCCAGCGTCTCCCAGACTCGCGGAGCGCGGATGGTGCGGGTTGCACCTCCCAGCGTCGACTTGACTTGTTGCTAGGCCCCTCCCGTCCTCCCCCTCCAACACCACCCCACCTCTCTTCCCCGCTTCCCCGGCTGATAGAGCCAATTTTTGCTGAAGATTTACGCGTCGCCAACGAGCGCAGTACGTCCGAACTGCCTTCCCCCTTGCTTCTCACCCTCCCCCTCTCTTTTCCCTCTTTTCCCCCTTTTCCCCCTACCTCGGCCCAACCATGCAGGGACGAGGCACGGCAAACCAATATAGGCCGCCTGCTGGACAGCAGTGAGGGCAGGAAGCTTCTCGGAAAGAGCTCCCACGAGACTGTAGATCTGCCAGTTGACTTCCAGCAGCTGCAGCGACTCTCGTACGACCGGCCAGAGGTGGGTGGCGTCAGCAGGTTGGTGATAAGAGAGAGCTTTTGGTGTTAGAAGAGATGAGGCGACACCCTAGTGACTCGTCCACGGAACCCCGCTGTGCCCCTCTGTGCCCCTCTGTGCCCCTCTGTGCCCCTCTGTGCCCCTCTGTGCCCCTCTGCGCCATTCTTCCTCCCCTGTGTTGCCTCCATGCTCCAGCTCTACTGGCCAATCGTTCTCCGCCACCTGGGAATCATTTTCCACAAGCCCCCTCAGAAGATCTTCTCCCTGCCCGAGGATCCTGAGGAACGTTTTCAGCTGCCCGGAGGACGCTGGTTGGTCGGGGCAGAGCTAAACATTGCAGAGAGTTGCTTGTGCGGCCTTGGGAGTTGCGGCAGAGGGAATGGGGAGGCGGAGGGAGAGGGCAGAGGGATGGGTGCATTGGGTGCGGTGAGGGGTGGGCTGGAAACTGCTGAAGGGAGGGGAATCGAGGAGAGTGCGGGGGAAGCAAGGGGGGAGGGGGAGGGGGAGAGGGTGGCGGTGGTGTGGCGGGACGAGTGGGAGGAGGGTGCAGCGGTGCGGCACATGACCCTTGGCGAGCTGAGGCAGCGAGCAGCGTGAGTGGGCGGGTGAGAGCTGGGGTACGACCCCACTCTTTCGGATGTCCGCCTCGGTCCGCTTGCTTCTCACACCCAGTGCTCTCCTCCTCCCCGCCCGTCCCTTAACCATTCAACTCTCTTTTCCTCCTTGCTGATTCTTCGTTCCCATTTCCGTGCCGGCCCATCTCTCGTCCCCGTTCAAGATGCCTGCTCTTCCTCTTCCATCTCTCTCACACTCTCCTTACGTTCCCTCGCCTCCACCACGGCCTCCAATGTTGTTGCCCTCACGGCCTCGCACTACCCACTCTCACAATTGTTTCCAACGCATCTTAAACGCCCTCCCCCCCATCCCACGCAGTGTCGTCGCCCAGTCTCTGCGAGCACGAGGCATCGGCCCAGGCGACCCAGTGGCACTGGCGCTGCCCATGTCGGTGCACTCACTGGCGGCGTACCTGGGCGTGCTGCTGCTGGTGAGCGCACCTGTGGTAACCAACACTGATACTTCCTACTTCCTCTCAACCGCCCTCTTCCCATCCCACCCAGTGCCGTCGCCCAGTCCCTACGAGCAAGAGGCGTGGGTCCAGGCGACCCGGTGGCACTGGCGCTGCCCATGACGGTGCACTCACTGGCGGCCTACCTGGGCGTGCTGCTGCTTGGTGCGGCTGTGGTGTCCATCGCTGACAGCTTCTCTGCCCGCGAGATTGCTGCTCGCCTCAAGATTGCCGGGGCCAAGGCGATCGTCACACAGGTGGGTGGGGCGAGGAGCGAGGGGTGGGACTGCACATGCTAACAGGGAGGCAGGGGTGGGCGTGCAGCTGCTGGGGGAGTGTTGCTGCTGGGAACGACTGTGGTGTCCATCGCTGACAGCTTCTCTGCTCGCGAAGGCCTCTCGCCTGAAGATTGCAGGAGCCAAGGCTATCGTCACACAGGTGGGTGAGGGGGGAGCGATCGCCTGGGCCACTCTCGTTCACAGGGAGGCAGGGGCGGGCGTGCTGCCGCTGGGATCGCAGCTTCCCTGCTCGTCAGATGGCTGCTTGCTTGCGGATCACAGGAGCCAATGCGATTGTCACACAAGCATGCGGGGCGAGGAGTGTGGCTACACAGTGCTGGCGGTTGGAAAGCCTGTGACCTCTTTCCTCGTATCTCCTCGCCTCCTCAAACCCCTCCCCACCTCTCACCTCGCCTCCTCAAACCCCTCCCCACCTCTCACCTCGCCTCCTCAAACCCCTCCCCACCTCTCACCTGGTCTGCTCAAATCCATCGTCCCCATTGTCCACTGCTCTCCCTCGCCCCCCGCGCCTCTCTGTACCTCTCCCCTTTGCAGGACTTCATTCCCCGCGGGGGCAAGCTGCTGCCACTCTACAGGTATCATATCACCATGCCTGCTGCACGCAAGCCCTCTCCTCTCTCTCCCCACCCATTTCTGCCGTCTTCCTTCTCTCTGCCTCATCACCGTGCCACTCCTCTTTCGATGCCCATGCTGCCCGCCTTCCTGCACGCGCTGCTCCTTGCTCGCCCCTCGCCCCTCCTCCTTGCAGGGATCCAGGCTCCCTGCCTCCTCATTACACTCGTTCCTCTCCTTCCCCACTCATTCCTCACTCATTCCTCTCCTGTTGCCCCTCCCCGCTTCCTCCTCCCTCCTCTCGCGCCTCCTTCTCACGCCCAGCCGGGTGGTGGATGCGGGTGCGCCGCCCGCCATTGTGCTGCCAGCCTCTGAGGGAGCGCCACATGTCGCGCTGAGAGAGGGCGACGAGTGGTGGAGCAGCTTTCTGGCTGAGGGGCAGCGCTCAACAGAGAGAGGCACCAGCAGGTGCAGTGCGGTGCTGCCCGATGGTGATGGGATGAACACATGCACGCTGATGATTGTTCAGTGCATGCATCTCTTGACTCGTTGTGTCTCCCCCAACGCTTGGCTGAATGCATCTCCTCAGTAGTCATTTTGAAGTGCGTCGAAAGTCGTCTCTTGACTCGCTGTGTGTTCCCCTGAGCTGCCTTCAGCACCTCTCATTCCCTGCGCTGCAACCTCAGCTTCAACGTGCATTCCCTCTGCCCTCCCTGCTGCGTGCCTGCTGCCTCCGCCAATCACAGAGTGCCATGTGTCAGCATGCCAGTGGACGCCACCATCAACATTCTCTTCTCCTCCGGCACCACTGGTGGGTGCTGCTTGCTGGGTGCTGGGTGGTGCTGGGTGGTGCTGGGTGAAGGGTGCTGGGTGCTGCTGGGTGGTGGGTAGGTGAGACCTGTGCTGCCACCATGTTCACTCCTGTGTTTCCCACACCACACATAATAAGCCACCTGCCCTCTCTCCACCTCCTCCCGTTCCACCGGGTATGGGTGCTTCACGGCCGCAGCCAAGGCACAGCTTTGTTGCTCTTGTCTCGCCCATTCGCCGTCTGCTGCACCCTTCTCACGTAATGCCACTCCACGCCTCTGCACCGATCATTTCTGCATGCATACATGCGCCCAACCGTGCATGCGTGCGGCCAGGCACCCCCAAGGCCATCCCGTGGTCGTCCCTGGCGGCCATCAAGGCGGCTGCAGATGCCTGGGCGCACCACGACCTGCGGGACAGCAGGGGGGTTGACTCAACGAAGCAGCAGCAGCAGCAGCGGCAGCAGCAGTGGCAGCAGCAGCGGCAGCAACATGAGCGGGGGGAGGGGGGCGACGTGGTGTGTTGGCCGACGAGTCTGGGGTGGATGATGGGCCCCTGGCTGCTCTTCGCTGCTCTGCTCAACGGCGCCACCATCGCTCTCTACAACGGCTCACCGCTCACCCACGGATTCGCACGCTTTGTGCAGGTGGGGGTGGGGTGTGCAGGGGTGCGTTTGGGGCTGCGGTGCTTGCGGTGTTTGCTTGGTGTGGGGACTGAACCAGGAGGATCATGTAATGGGCGATAGAGGAGAGCAGGGGCAGCAAAGGGAGCGCAGGGCAGAAGCTGTGCTGTGTGTGAGTCGTGCCCCTTTAGCTCCATTGGTACAACGCAAGTCACCCCACTTCAACCCCATACCCAACACCCTCCTCTCACCCGTTCTCCACCATTCTCACTGCAATCACCCCCTCCTTTCTCCCCTACCATGCACATGTCTCTGAGGAGCAAGACGCGCGGGTGACGGTGCTGGGGGTGGTACCCATCCTCGAAACCCTCTTCTTGCAATGCCCCCTCTCGCCCCTTCTCTTCCGCTCGTCCCGCTCCCGCTCCCCTACTCTCCCCTACCATGCACATGTCTCTGAGCGGCAGGACGCGCGCGTGACGGTGTTGGGGGTGGTGCCCAGCCTCGTGCGCTCCTGGAAGGCCAGTGACACCACCTAACCCCCATCGCCCATCACTTCGCCCTGCTCCTACTCCCCTTCTCTCCCCTGCCGCACACGGCTCTTGTGCGAGCAGGATGCGCGTGTAACGGTGTTGGGGGTGGTGCCCAGCCTCGTGCGCTCCTGGAAGGCCTCAGGCTGCACCAATGGCTGTGATTGGTCGCGCATTCGGTGAGGGAGATTTGATTGGTGCCACGTCAGTGAGCGAGCTGTGATTGGTCGCTGATTTGGTGAAAAAGACCAGCCTACAAGCACGTCGCCCGCTCCTGCCCTGCTCACTCCCAACTTTCTCTGCACACTTTCAGATTCGACGCACCTTCCTCCCGCCCTCAACTCCCTCCTCCAACCATGTCTTATTCAACTTCCTTTTTAGTCCATGTGCATGCTCCATGTTCCATATTCCATCTTCCATGTTCCATGTTCCCTGTCCTGTATTTCACACTCCTCCACTCTTCCGCCACCTCCACCCCTCCCACCCTTAGTCTCTTCTCCTCTACACGAAAGGCCTTGCTCCCTGCCGACCACCTCGGGCTCATGTTTTGCGCCCTCCATCATACACCCGTGTGCTGGAGTAGTGTGGCAGCACTGCTCCCGTCCACCGCCGCCCTCCCTTCAACCATCTCTTGCTCACATCACATCCCACACCACTCTTGTGTTTCCGTCATATTCCATGTTCCTTCACCCCCCCTCCCCCCCTTCCGGTCCCCTCACAGCCTCTTCTCCTCCACGGGAGAGGCCTCCCACCCATCCGACTACCTGTGGCTCGTGTCTCGCGCCCGCTACCATGCACCCATGGTCGAGTACCGTGGGGGGCACTACTGCTGTCCACCACCGCCCTCCCTTCCCACGATCTCTTGCTCTCATCTCAGACTATTCTTTGTGACTTTGTTATATCCCACGTCCTCCACCTCTCCCGCCTCACAGCCTCTTCTCCTCCACGGGAGAGGCCTCCCTGCCCTCCGACTACGTGTGGCGCATGGCACGAGCGCGCTACCGGGCGCTACCGGGCGCTACCGCTACGAGCGAGCGCCCATACTGGAGTAGTGCGGGGCACTGAGATCGCCGGGGCCTTTCTCACTGCCACCTTACTGCACCCGCACGCGCTCTCCTGCTTCACCACGCCCGCCATGGGGTGCAGAACGGTGCTGCTGGGTGCGAAGAGGGATGGGGATGGAGGAGTGGAGGGGGGCAGTGGTGCAGGGGTGAAAGTGGTGGATCCGTGGGAGTGGACCAAGGGGGGCAGCGGTGGTGCTGGTGGAATAAAGGGCGGTGATTGGCTGATGGGGGAGTGTGCGCTGATGCCGCGCATGCTGGGAGCTTCGTGGAAGCTTCTGAACGCGGATCACTACAAGGTGTACTTTGAAGGCATGCCAGAGTTTCACGGCCAGGTGCTTCCACAACCCGCCCCACCCCACCCCACCCAGCTGTGTTCCCCTTCCATTGCGCATGCATCTGTGGGTTAATCCTGGACTTTGTTTCAGCCATATCCTCTCATCACCGCACACCCCCATCACCTCATGCTCCCATCACACCATACCCCACCACTCGTTCCCCCTGGTCCCTCCCAGCGCCTGCGGAGGCATGGGGATGCGGTGGAGTGGGGTCCGGGGGGCTACTGGCGCGCACACGGGCGCACAGACGACACCATGAACCTCGGCGGCGTCAAGGTGGGCCTCTGGGGGGGTGTGAAGGTGGGGCTGGGGGCGTCAAGGTGGGCAAGAACCGAAACTAGATTACGTCAATTCTGTGTTGATGTTTTTGTTTATGCTGGCTTTCTAAGAAACGCACTCAACCAGGCTCCTTCATTTCACTCACCTAACCCATACGTTTCGTTTTGTTTACCAAAAATTATGGAAGTAAGGCCTCCGCAGCCCACCAGTGTGCTACTGACAGGGCCACAATGGGGCTGTGAGGGGCGCAATGGGGCTGTGAGGGGCGCAATGGGGCTGTGAGGGGCACAATGGGGCTGTGAGGGGCACGGTGGGGCTGTGAGGGGCAGACTAGGATTCCTGCCGTCCGCCCTCCCTGTGCTCTCTTCCCCTCCCTGTGCTCTCTTCCCCTCCCTGTGCTCTCTTCCCCTCCCTGTGCTCTCTTCCCCTCCCTGTGCTCTCTTCCCCTCCCTGTGCTCTCTTCCCCTCCCTGTGCTCTCTTCCCCTCCCTGTGCTCTCTTCCCCTCCCTGTGCTCTCTTCCCCTCCCTGTGCTCTCTTCCCCTCCCTGTGCTCTCTTCCCCTCCCTGTGCTCTCTTCCCCTCCCTGTGCTCTCTTCCCCTCCCTGTGCTCTCTTCCCCTCCCTGTGCTCTCTTCCCCTCCCTGTGCTCTCTTCCCCTCCCTGTGCTCTCTTCCCCTCCCTGTGCTCTCTTCCCCTCCCTGTGCTCTCTTCCCCTCCCTGTGCTCTCTTCCCCTCCCTGTGCTCTCTTCCCCTCCCTGTGCTCTCTTCCCCTCCCTGTGCTCTCTTCCCCTCCCTGTGCTCTCTTCCCCTCCCTGTGCTCTCTTCCCCTCCCTGTGCTCTCTTCCCCTCCCTGTGCTCTCTTCCCCTCCCTGTGCTCTCTTCCCCTCCCTGTGCTCTCTTCCCCTCCCTGTGCTCTCTTCCCCTCCCTGTGCTCTCTTCCCCTCCCTGTGCTCTCTTCCCCTCCCTGTGCTCTCTTCCCCTCCCTGTGCTCTCTTCCCCTCCCTGTGCTCTCTTCCCCTCCCTGTGCTCTCTTCCCCTCCCTGTGCTCTCTTCCCCTCCCTGTGCTCTCTTCCCCTCCCTGTGCTCTCTTCCCCTCCCTGTGCTCTCTTCCCCTCCCTGTGCTCTCTTCCCCTCCCTGTGCTCTCTTCCCCTCCCTGTGCTCTCTTCCCCTCCCTGTGCTCTCTTCCCCTCCCTGTGCTCTCTTCCCCTCCCTGTGCTCTCTTCCCCTCCCTGTGCTCTCTTCCCCTCCCTGTGCTCTCTTCCCCTCCCTGTGCTCTCTTCCCCTCCCTGTGCTCTCTTCCCCTCCCTGTGCTCTCTTCCCCTCCCTGTGCTCTCTTCCCCTCCCTGTGCTCTCTTCCCCTCCCTGTGCTCTCTTCCCCTCCCTGTGCTCTCTTCCCCTCCCTGTGCTCTCTTCCCCTCCCTGTGCTCTCTTCCCCTCCCTGTGCTCTCTTCCCCTCCCTGTGCTCTCTTCCCCTCCCTGTGCTCTCTTCCCCTCCCTGTGCTCTCTTCCCCTCCCTGTGCTCTCTTCCCCTCCCTGTGCTCTCTTCCCCTCCCTGTGCTCTCTTCCCCTCCTGGCTAACTTCTCTTCTCACCTGCTGCCTCACTGACATTGGTGCGAGTGCCCACACACCGTGCTTTCTGCCATGCTCATCCTCCCTGCCATCCCCATTCTTTCTGCGCCTTCACACTCTAGACCCAATGACCCCACTCCTCCTTGTGACCCCGAAATGGGCCTCGTTTTCCCAGAGCCTCCTCAGTGCCTCCTTTCTTGGCTGGCCGGATCCCAATCTCAAACCCCCTTGGCAGGTGGGGTCGGTGGAGGTAGAGCGGGTGTGCAATACGGCCCACCCTGCAGTGTCAGAGACGGCAGCCATTGGCGTCGCGCCACGTGGCGGCGGGCCAGAGGAGCTGGTGGTGGTGGCGGTGATGCGAGGAGGGGGAGTGGTGGGGGGGACAGGAGAGAGGAGCAAGGGGGGGAATGGGGCGGAGCGCAGGGTGGTATCAGAGGATGATCTGAGGAAGGTGTTTTCTGCGGCTCTCCAGGCCCAGCTGAATCCGCTCTTCAAGGTGTGGTCTTCATGTTCATGCTTATGCTGTATGGGTGGTCTTACCTAAGACCCTCTGCTCATCTTTTGCCAGCACTCATCTCTCCTATTCGCGCACCCAGAAGTGCCCGTACATGCCTGTACATGCCTGTGCATTCCTGTACATGCCCACACATGCCCACACATGCCCACACATGCCCACACATGCCCACACATGCCCACACATGCCCACACATGCCCACACATGCCCACACATGCCCACACATGCCCACACATGTCCATACATGCCCATACATGCCTAGCATCCATGGCTGTTAAGTCTTCACCAACTGTGGTCGCCTGACACACATGCATGCCACACGACCTCATACCTCACGCAAGCTCGAGTACCACACCTTGTGCCATGCCATCACATACATTCACTTAACCACCCTCTCTCCATCTCCTCCTCCCACAGGTGGCAGCGGTGTGGGTGGTGCCGTCGCTCCCCCGCAATGCATCCAACAAGGTCATGCGCCGCGTGCTGCGAGACCACTTCACCCAAAGCCATCCCACCATGCCTGCCACCACACCTCCCACTCGGGGGCTTGTTGGAACCACAAGCCGCCCTACCTCTCGCCTTTAACCCTGGCGGTTTTGTTTTATCGTGTATATATTTGTAGTTTGAACTCTGTTTACACCGATATCGTACGTTGTCAAATTGTAAAATATGTGTGTGTGTTTAAATTTGCATTCGAGCATACCGTACAAACGGGGAGGGGGAAGGAGAGGGGAAAGGGGGGCATGGGTGGGTCAGCTCCATTGACAAAGAGAAGCTCACATCTCCAATGGGAAAGGAGAAGGCGGAGAAGGGGAGGGGGGGGGAGGGGGGTTTTGGAGGAGGAAGGAGGGGGGTTGCCGCCTTAGTTGGAGCCTCTCGCTACTCGTCATAAGTCATTTGCCAGGGGTCCCCTAGGCGTGGTGCCCAAGGGTCTGCTGCTGCCTGAGGGAAAGTTGCCTCTATCGCATGGTTAGACTTCGACAGGAGGGAGATGGCTTGGCTGCGCTGCAGCATCACCGACCCTCTCTAACGGTAGTGCGCTGTGAGCCGCGCAGCAGTGGTGGTGGGTCTCCCCTGCCGAAATTTCGCCTTTGCTGCGTGGGTAGCCAACATCCGAAGGAATTGAAGGGTGTCGGCCGCCATAGCCCCATAAGTCTCAACTGCAAGCCCGAAGAAACCAGCATAGCTCGGGCGCCCCTCGTAAAGCCGATGCTTATTCTGAGAAGCTTCATCAGCTGCCCAACCTGGCGGCCTACGTGCCCTCACATCTATGTTCTGCAGCACTGGGTCTGTCACATTGACGTCAGTTACCCAAGTCTCCTCGGATTCCTGATCCCGGATTGCTAGGTCCGCTCGCTTCCTAAGGACTGGGGGAGAGCAGGCAGATGTCTCATGAAATGTCTTGAACCCAGCTTCGCTCGCCTTGCGTAGTGCAGCGTACACCAGCGCATTGTGAGTCCGGACAGCGTCACCCCTGTCTTGGCAGCGGAGCAGATGGTTTGGGAGGCTCTTATCCGAGATAGCTGAGTCCTGCCGTCTGCAAAGGCAGACCTCAACGACCGGCAGTTCCATGCCTAGGCGGGAGGCCTTGTGCCAAGGAGAACTGACAAGGGGAGATGGTAAGGTCAGTCCTCGTAGGTACAGCATGGAGCTAGTCGCCTGCTTGTGCCCCTTTCATGCCAATCAGTCTGATCGCATGGCCCCTGGGCCTCCCGGGCCTGTCCACGACGGTGTCTCCCAGAAGGTCTGCTGCCCACTGCATGTTGATTTGCTTGGAAAGGCTCAGCTGAAGGCTACCCTTTCGGTACTGACTGAGGACAGCTTTTGCTGGGGCTGGGAGGCACTCTTCCAAGGCTGTCAGGGGGTTGAAGTTGGGCGGGGGAGGGGAACCCGTCATAGGAACAGCGCAATGACCCTGTGGAGCAGGCAGTCAGTGGGAAGGTCCAGTGCTGCAAGAGGGATTGTGCGGCCGTTATTGATGCGATGTGGGCTGCAGGTGATTCTGATATAGGGTCAATGATCCCCAGGCCACAGAGCCGAATGGGCAGAGTCGCACGATGCCACAGGAGACTCTGTTCCAGTTCCGGTGTCAGGATACGCAGCTTCGCCGCTGCAAGGGCCGAACCTACCAGTGCCTCACTCCACTCCCTCCACTCCTCCAAACCCAGGGCCGTCGCACGTGTCGTCTGCAACATGTAGGAGACACGGCGGGAGATGCTGCGGGAGAGGATCAGCAAGGCCGCCTGAGGGTGGAGCTGGGTGATGAGGGGGAGTGCGGACGCTGCCTCCTCCAGCGACGCTCTCACTTAGTTGGTGCAGTAGCCTGCGCTGCCGATGGGGCTCTCCAAGACTCGGATGCCGTCCCTGCTGGCTATTAAATCTAGATGCAGCTTGTCATTCCCCACCTCCGCAGATGCTACCCAGGCTGTTGACTTGAGCCGGGTTGCTGTTGTGGCAAGTCGGCCTTGCCTGAACTTCTGGTAGCGTTGGTGGCCAACATGCGCAAGGAATTGAAGCTTGTCGGCTGCCATCGCGCCATAGGTCTCAAATGCAAGCCCGAAGAAGCCCTCGTAGCTGGGGCGTCCCTCGTACTCCCGGTGTTTCCTCTGTGAGGCCTCCTCAGCCGCCCACCCCAACAGCCTACATGCGCTAGAGTCCATGTTCTGCAACGCTGGATCAATTACCGTAACGTCTGTCGCCCATGTTTCACCCAATTCTTGGTCTCGGTTGGCCCGGTCAGCTCTTTTCCTAAGGACAGGGGGTGAGAAAGTGAAGGTCTCGTGGAACACCTTGAAGCCCGCCTCGTTCGCCACCGCAGCGCTGTGTAGACAAGCAAGTTGTGGGTGACCGCATCCCCACCATCCTGGCAGCGTAGCAGGTGGTTAGGCAGACTCTTATCCAAGATCGCAGAGTTGCTTCGCTTGCATGGGCAGACCTCAGCGACCGGGAGCTCCATGCCAAGGCGGGGGCCTAGGGCCAACGAGAAGTGACCAGGGGAGATGCTAAGATCAGCTCTCGCCATCACAGCATGGGGCCAATATCCTGCTCCCGCTCCTTTCAGACTGATGAGTCGAATCGCATGGCCCCTGTTGGTGCCAAGCCGGTCAACGACTATGTCACCAGGAGGTCTAGTGCCCTCCGTTGGTTGATGAGCTTAGAGAGGCTCACCTGCAGACTGCCCATGCCCGAGGCCTCCATCATGTGCTGGCTAAGTGCTGATTGTGCCAGGACCGGGAGGCTCTCTTCCAGGGAGGTCAGGGGGTTGCTATCTGGGGGCGGAGGGGTCCACTCATGGGAGAGTAGCGTCGTGGCCCGGTGTAGCAGGCAGTCCGAAGGCGGGCTTAGCTGCTGGAGGAGGGAATGGGCAGCTCCGAGTTTAGGTCAATGATTCCCAGGCCGCCCAGCCTGATCGACAACGTCGCTTGTCGCCAAAGTAAACTCTGCTCCAGCTCAGACGCGGGAATGCATAGCTTAGCCGCCGTGAGTGCCGCCCCCACCAAGCTCTCGCTTCACCCCTCCATTCTCCCTCGCCCAGGGCTGATGCCGGTATCGTTCGCAGCAAGTACGAAATTCGGCGAGAGATGCTGCACGAAACAATCAGCAGTGCTGTGTGGTAAGGGGCAGTGGTGATGCCGCATTCTCAAGCATTGCCCTTACTTGCTCGGTGCAGTAGTTGGTGATGCCGATAGGGTTGCCGAGTACCCTGATTGCTCCCGGCTTGGCTGTCAGACCCTGCGGCAGCGCGTTGTCATCATCTCAATAGGATGGGGCCTATGCGGATGACTTGTCAATATTGCAGTGCAGTGTACTCCGCCATTTTGCTTGTGATTTCCTTAAATGACAGGCAGGCCGCCTCTCGTGGGCCTGCAACTGTGATGTCGTCAGCATAGGCCGTGATTGGCACGTCGGGCAAAGTCATGGCAACACTGAGGAGGGTGGGTTGTATAACCACTGCAAATATGAGAGGGCCCAGAGGATCGCCTTGGCGTACACCCCTGGAGCTAAGGATGTGGTCGATGTCGAGCCGAGGATCTACGAGTGTCAGAGGTCCACTGGAGATCCCCGATGATCCTAGGGAAGGGTTACAGGCATGTCGGCCTGGGGGGTTATGGGCGCACTCACCCGCTATATAAACAAGCCCTTTTATCCCAGTGGTTAGTGGCTGGGATTCTGACAACGAGCAGGTGAGAGGGACCGTCGTAAAGGTTCCATATGAGTGGCAGTAGTGGGCTCAGGTTCGACCATTGCAGCGCCCCGAAAAAAGCCGGTCGTTCAACGCTGTTGAACGCGTTCTCAATGTCCAATTGAAGTGTGATCCTGTGTTTATCTTCTTGAAGTAAAGCACGGACGGCTTGAATGATACATTCCGCCCCTCTAGTACGGCGACGCCCAGCTGGACATGTAGGAAAAATTCTCTAATCTTGGGGCCCAAAGTTTGTAGCGCCGCCTTTGCCGCAGCGCACAATATTGCCTCACCGATGGCAATCGACCTTACTCCTTCTAGCGCGATTAGTCGAGAGGGCAGAAACAGGTCTCTTACATGCTGGGGCTGGAAGGTACTGAGCAATTGGTTTACAACGTTATCGAAAAGTAGAAGCAGCTCCTCGTTGGCCAATGCCGGGTCCCGCAGGTGCTCGAAATACGTGCCCAAGGGCCCCGCCCCAACCCCATTTGGGCACTTCGCCAACACTTCGCGAAGTGTATCCAGCGGGACACCAAGATCAGTGTGAGTGATCCCCGTTACCCAGGCAGGGGTTTGTGTTTTGGCTGCTGGGTGTTTCGCTTGCAGTGTTGCCAATGTCGCCGGCGTGGGTTTTGCCAGAGGACTCATTTGCAGGGATGGGTCTCTCTCTCTCTCTCTCTCTCTCTCTCTCTCTCTCTCTCTCTCTCTCTCTCTCTCTCTCTCTCTCTCTCTCTCTCTCTCTCTCTCTCTCTCGGAGCGGCTCCTCGGAGAACAAAACCGCGTAATTAATATGCGTGGCATCATCATCAATGCTCGCTGCAGTCGTCTTATTGCTAGGGTTGAACGGGGGCGGGCTCGTAGGCTTAATTTTGATTGTAGTAACTGCAAGTGTCACTGGCGTTGCTTGCTTCGCTCTCGTCGTTGCCTCGTGCGAGGTCGCCACTTGTGACGACTCCACTTGCTCCATGGCTGGCGGCGCCACCTTCTTCATCGAACGACTCCTGTCGCGCTTCACCTCGCAACTTGCGTAGCGCGGTGATCTCTGCACGTAGTATTGTGACCTCCGTTGATAAAGCCTTCACTGTCATCTGCAGCTTAGCCACTTACGATAGCATTTCGTCCAACTTCTCCTGGTCCATGAGGTGGACGCTTTATCTGGAGAGCAGAGCGGTACCCGTGGCCTTTCAGGCAAGAAGAAATAAATTGTCAGAATCTAGAATAGAACGAGAATGGATGAACTAGCAGGAAGGTGGGTACAAGTATGAAACCCTAAGTTTGTGTACCCTCTAAGGCTAAACCCACTATAGCCTACACAATATAAACATACAATGTTTGACACACCCCCATAGGCGAAGTGGGAGACAACCAGAGGGTCACAAGACCAGTCAAAGCAAAGCAAAGC